GACAGCCTTTTTCCTAGGGAATGTTATTTCTCTATTTGGTCTGACAATTTCAGTCTTATATTGCATCAAGGAAATGGGGTTTCTTATTTCGACAGGTCTTGCAAGTTAAACAAACAACCACCAATCATAAGTCAAGAGGGCGAATATTACCAAGACCACTCTGTAGACTAAAAACCCAAAATACTTCCTTTTCTCCTACATATCCAAATCCATCGCTGCATTTACTGACCAGACCAGAGTAAATATGTCGGAGTCAACAGACTGATTTACATCCTTAGAAGATCAAACTCTTTCCCTTTCTCTTCTATTCCATCCTCTCGCCCACCGACCGGACCAGAAGCGACCAGATAGACCAACCTCCTCGGAGGACCCAATTGTCATCTTTCTCGACCCGAATTCTATTCCATCCTCTCGCCCACCGACCGTACCAGAAGGGACCAGATAGACCAGATAGAGGAGGTGGGCAACCTCCTCGGAGGACCCAATTGTCATCTTTCTCTACCCGAATTCTATTCCATCCCACATCCATCGACAGGGTCAAATGCGTCCGGATGGCCTAAAATCCCCTGAGAACCCAATTATTTCAAATTTTCTAAACCAACTTCTATTCCATTCCATCCACTGAACCAGGTACCGCCGGATGGATTAACGACCTCAAGGACCCAATTCTCTCCAACCCTCCATCCCCTGACCAGATCCGGTGAGACGAAGCATACCGGATCACCGGATTGATATACCCGGCGAACGCCCCGAGCAGACACAAATCACGTGACCGTTAGTGATTTATACAAATAGCAATCTAATTGTAGCCCCGGCTCTGCTGTTGGCGCACGATTACCCCGGGAAACTAGATCGGTTAAATCCAGCTAAATGATATTATTACACTGCGGCAGAGCTCATCAATTATGTGTAACGATGAATTCTACTTCCATACACGCTTTTTCTACCAGGAGATTCATGATCGGCGGACTCGCTTGTGGCGGTTGGTGCAACCGAGCCTGGTGGAACGGGCTGCTTTTGTTAAGATTTGTTCGAAAATGTTCAAAGGGCAGTTTTTTATAATGGAGATTTTAATTGCTTTAAAGTGTGATGTAATAATGGTATTTATGTGGATTAGCAACTTTTATCGTAACAGCACAAATTATTAGATACGAGCATACGCTGTGAAACATCTTCTTCCCTTTGTCCCAAAATTAACCTTAATAGTGTAGACTAAAGAATCCGTTACATTTAATGCTAGTCATTTCCCATGGAAATTCCATAGACTAGAGGTTCGGTACCCGATAAGCAACCATGTTGCATAAGATTTATGGCTTTTTGTGGAACAATTTGTATAAAAGTGGGACTGTCACGCCGCGACTATCTGATCTCGCGACTCTCCTTTCACTGCGACGGGAGTCCAGCGTCCAGGGCCGAGGCTCTAACAAGGGAGAGAAGTACAAACTGAAGAGGATTTTGAATGTTTAAATAAAGGAAAGTCGTTCAATATGGGTACAGCTTATTTTTGAATACTAACTGGCATCATGAAAAGAGAAATCTGAGCAGTTCATTGAGGCACTCTATGTATTTGCGTCAAGGCTCTAAACTTTGCATCAGTCAGGATGAACGCTGAAATTGAAACCCAACCAAATAAACGCAATATGTGACAGAAGTGCTCCATTAAAGTGCACTTCTTCAAAACCACCAGACGATCCCACAGACAGTCTTTATCAGCGGACTGAAACAAAGTGCATTGTCGGTTGTGAGAAATTTCAGCAGAGAAGTAGATGGATGTAAGCAGCAGCCATTCAACTAGATGCATTTGTTGGTATCTGGAAGAGTATCGGTGGACACGAAAAATCAATTAATTACCGAGCAATTAGAGATTGGAAGCATTCCACCGATACGAGGACGAGACCACACGCTTAAAAACTGGAATTAATCTTGGCGATTGCAAATAAAAGACGCGGCTGGGGCGAGAGCAGTAGCATACTCCGGGCGGGAGAGAATGCCACCAGCAATGGGCGATAACTCCGGTAGTGGGCAAATAATGGATCCAGGGATATGTCAGTCGTGTCTGGGATACGATTTACTAAGTGTTGTCTGGTGAGAACGAACCGAGGCTGTATTGCCCACCAGCATTTTAGTGACTTAATTCTGAGACACAGGTGTGTTTTATTCCTACCCCTCGGCCAAAACCAAATGAACAGTAACAGCATTTGCTGCAAAAGTTCAATATCAACAATATTTGGAAGGATTTAAGTCTAGTGATAGAGAACAATGATTTTGGGAAATTAAATTACTACATAGCTTTTTTCCTTGCAACCCCTCTTCATGAATAAAATACAGAACCATCGAAAAGGTTCTCCCAGAAAATTGTGTACAAAAGTAAAACAAGGATACTTTTTTACGCCTCCAAAAAAAAAGCTATAGAGAATCCGGTACTTACGTATTAAACGGAGGCCACATTTTGTCAGCGCGCTGCGGCGGTTATGTTAGGTTGGGTTATCATAATAGAAAGTATAACTCGTCTGGTATCGTTCGATTCATAACGAAGCGAGGAAAGTCCTACACACATAATATTTACGATAACCCAACCTAACATAACCGCCGCAGCGCGCTGACAAAATGTGGCCTCCGTTTAATACGTAAGTACCGAGAATCCAATCAATAGTCAATTAACGCAGTTCCCACTAGAAGGTTTTAATAAATATCTGAGTATTACAGATAAAACTAGTTCTGAACAAATTAACAAATACCCAACAATATAACAAATTAGAACAAAGAAAACATGAAAAGTTGGCTGTGAACAAGTTTGCCACAACCGCGCGTCTCTTGAGTGGAGGATAACGCGGCTTGACGAGGGAGCAGTGATAAATTGACCGCTGTCAAGACTCTCTCAGTCCTCAAATTAATTATTTAACACAATGGGGATATTCAAACAGAGACCACGGCACAGAACATTACTGGCATACATTTGAATACGCTTAAGTCTGTGGTCTGCGGCTACGATGGAAATGGGTCAAAATAAATCAACTTTATGAGTTGCGGAAATAGCTTCACTTGTCAACGCAGTAATAAGGAACACAGTTGACAGCGGCGGTGGTTTGAATAGGATTTATTTTACACTTTACAGTAAGCGATAAATATAATAAGACTTAATCGTATAATTATCTTAATATGCGTTCCTTATCCAGGTATATAATAGTAACGACGAGCTATTGAATAGTACCTGGATAATAAGAAGTACTAAAACATAGTAACTGACGAATGGTTTAAAAATGTTAGCTACGTAAACATTCTACATTTGAAAAGATTAATATAACATAAACAGAAGTAGCATTGCGTCTAAGAAGTAAATATGAAATAACAAATTAGTTATTCCTTTGATTACCGGTAAACTAAGCTCTTTAGTGTAATGAAACAATGTCACAGCTAACAATCTGTTTGTATGACACCATTTCAGCCTGTTTCAATGCATCCAAAATAAGTTAATCGACTCAAATTTGAATCCGGTTAAACAACGCATTATTTACGACACAAACGGCAATCAAGAACTAAACATACCATGAAATCATTGTCAACTACACATAACGACCTAAAATGTCGGTGTAAACTACAAAATAGACGCCGAGTGGACTTACATAGCCGATAATGCGATAAGTGACGGATGTAATAAAAAATAATGAGTGAGCCGGGCCGTATTCGAACGCAACGCGCTGCGCATCCAAACAGCTCGGCGCATGCGTGAGGTTTACGCATCTCTAGAGCTATATATCGCGCATAAGGCGGGGGGAGGGGAGAGGGGGTGTGAGTTTTGAATTTCACAACAGTCCCGACGAGAAGCGAGGCCGTAACTCATACTTGTTAACCGGCCGGACTTTTTTATTTTATAGTGTCCAGTGAGAAATACGTTAAATCGTAAAAAATACTAACTGACTCGTGGCTCACTGTAAATTATCGAATAAATTTCGTCATAGTCGCGGCCCGCCAATTACCACGGCGAGGAAATTATAAATATTCCGTAACGGCTGAGGATTTGGACCTCGACACCTTCAGACTCAGGCTCAAGACGCGGTTGTGGCTTAATATGTAAAACTGACAGCTGGAGACGTCCTCGTGTACTAATTACGTGTTTGTGGTAATTATTAACTAATTATATATAACACAAATTCAAAACTCAATACTTAATTGCTTCAAACCCGTACATTTTGAATTGTTTGATCAAGATCTACAGTACCTATTGGTCGTTAGCACCTCCATCTGTATCTGTAACATAACTTCACCATTGCTGCACACCGATCCCTATTTACTTCTCGTATCTCAAAACTATCGTCGACTCCGGGCCGACAAATTCTCATTAAAAACCATTTCTACGATCATTAATCAAAATGAAATGCGGCCTCTCAAATAACAATGACAGAATGGTAAACCCTCACGACGAACGAGGACAGGCGAGCATTAAAAAGTGTTTAATAACGATTCTAGCGCTGGCATTAATGCGCAAGTTGAAAACTCCGACCGGCCTCCAGCTTGGCATTACTCACAAACCAAAACATATATTGAGATCAATTTGTTACGGGCTGGCCGCACGATCCCTGGAGGTGGCGCGCCGACACATGGTCGACAATCCGGTTGGAACCACGGACTACATTGTCTTGGACCATGGTACCTCAACACTTAAGTTGAGTTGCGCGATTAATTGATTCACCAAAACATGGATTGTTGTTTTTCATTTTAAGATAGGTTTGTAATGCATTTTTAACGATGACCTCTTCTTAATTTTTCCTGGACAACAATTATAGCATATTTTCAAACAGTATTACACACTCATTATAATGTTTGCATCCTGTTTTAACGTACGCAAAGCCTAATTTATGGATCTCATAAGCCTGCACATTAGTATTCAACATTTATAAATTATCATAATTTGATATAATCTTCTACTATTTATACCAACAATTCCCAAAAAATAGTGTGACCACCACCGAGAAACCAAGCATGTAAACCAAAAGACTCACCGGTATCCATGGCGACGAGCGTGAGTATGTACTCAGGTTGAACCTCCCTATCTAGAGCCCTCAGCAGCGTGATCTCTCCCGAAGAAGCGTTGATGCGGAAGAGATCAGCATCCCCTTCCTTGAGGAAGTAACGCACTTGTCCGTTGAAAGGCGGAGTATCTGCATCATAGGCTCGTACCGTCAACACGTAACCGTTTGGGGACGGGACTACGTTTTCCATGATATAAGCGATGTACGGCGAGTCCAAAAATGTCGGAGGGTTGTCGTTGATGTCGATAATCGAGATGGAAATGTTAGCACTGTCGTGTCTCACTGATTCATCCGAGTTTCCGGCACAATCTTCAGCGCGAACGGTCAGCACGTAGCGGCTCTTGCGTTCGAAGTTGAGGTTCTTGGCGACACGAACGACTCCCGTGTCCTCGCTGATGCTGAAGTCGCGGTTGTCGTCACCGGCCACGATGGCGTATCGGACACGACCGTTGAGACCCTCGTCCACATCGGTGGCGGACACCTGCAACGATACATTTTGTTACACAAAGACAACCACAAATTGAAAATATTACATCATAATTCTAAATGTTGTGTTCACACATGGTAAAGCTGAGGGCAACCAAAAGCCCAAAAGTTATATAATAAGAGACTCCCAAAATAATCTGTAAGATTTATTGTACTTTTGCATATTTATAGAATAACCTAAACTAGATTGAAAGCAATAATCACCTGTAACACAGATGCTCCGATGCTAGCATTCTCAGCAACAGAAGCCGAGTACTGCTTGGGATCAAACACCGGGCTGTTGTCATTCTCGTCTAGCAGCTTGATGAAGATGTTGGTCCTGGAGAACCTGGGAGGGTCACCTCTGTCCTTGGCCTTGATCTCTAGCGTGTAGTTCGCCCGGGTCTCTCGGTCCAGCCGCCCAGTAACCCTGAGGAGGCCGTCCACAGGTCCCAGAGAGAAGACCCCTGTCACCGCTGGATCGCGGCTGAGAGAGTACTCGATGTAGCTGTTCCTTCCTTCGTCTTTGTCGATCGCCTTGACTGCCAGGACCACGGTGTTGACCGGGATGTTCTCCATCACCGAGGTCTCGTTTGGAGTGATGAACTCGGGTGACATGTCGTTCACGTCCTTCAGCACGATGCTCACCTGGAGTAATGTTGGTGACATTTAGAACATTGCAAAGGTGAAATTATATACACAATACTAACATTCTTCATTTTCTCTAGTAAAATACTTTTCTGAAAAGAAAGAACGATTAATTAAGTGAAATATTTTGGTATTGACTGAATTTATAATATTCAGCTAGTAGCTTGAAAAAATATGACATAAAAAGTATTGCTTTAGCATAAAGAGTTTAGCTGATTAATTGATTAAACAAATGATCGGTCCAATTAAAAGGGTAAAATTATTCGTACACTTCCCTTATATATGTCGACATTGAGAGTCCGAACATATAAGAAGGACTAAGACTTCCAAGTAAGAGAGTTCAATTTGACGGACAGCGAAAATTAACGATTTGGCACCACAGAAGAGAACGAGAAGAAAAAATGCATACTATAAAATACAGAATTGTTTATGCAATTTAAAAGACCGGGAAAATTTATGATGAAAACCCCGGATGCAATAGTTATAGTGTTCTTTGATTGCCCTACAATAAATGAAAAGTGGTATAAAGCAAAAGTTCTTTTAGGGAATCTCATAATTGAAAGTGTCTTCATAACCTCCTTCATATTCTTGCACCTCTGTGATTGGGAATTTAGTTACCGTACTAAAATGAAGAAAAGTGCGTGCAATGAATAAAGTATATTTTGATTTTATTTCACTTAATAAGTAGGCAATACTAAAACGATTTTGACGGAGTTCTGTAAAAACTCAGTTTAACTTATTTTCAACAAACGGTTTCGGTGTACACAATGAATTCAACAACACAGACCTACGTTTAACATTTCCAGCCTATCCCTACACAGACGTGCATAATATCGTAGATGTTTCCCTTTCGACACAACCGTCCGCATAAATTTCACAGCACCGTTATCCTTGAAGACTGGAGGGACGTGGAGAGGCCGGGATGAATAGAAACATTTGAATCTCCAATAGTAGGAACAATAGGGAGGTATTTCGAAAGGTAAACATAGTTAGAGCGGTGTTGGCTTAAGCCTTGTTGGTCGATTGGACAACAGGACTGGGTGAGCTTGTTGACCGACAGGCTGTGTACTCGAGGTAGTCGCTCTCGCTAGCTGCCGTATCTCAACACAAGGTGATATGTGCTACAAAGATGTACTTAATGTTGCGGGAGGTTTGGCAAAAAGTTATGTATGCAGGCCGATATAAATATACATTGCTGTACCGTTAAACAAGGTGGGTATATTTTGACATTTTTGAGGATAGTTCGAAGAATATCTTTAGGACGTGTATTTTTTAGGTTAAAGAAGTTTATTTCATTTCCTTAATGTCAGGGTGGCGTATATGACTCCTAAACAGCATCAAATATGGTGGGAAATGTAGTAGAAAATGGTAGACAGATAAAAGAAATTTTACATAGACAAGTGCGATGTACGGGTATTCTTAGAATCGTCGTATACCTTGTGATTTTGCACATGATCGATCTTTTTGTGCAACGAAAAAACCGACAGAATGTAAGTACAAACGTACTTTATAAATAACTTCATACACTGGTGGCTATGGACAGAAGAGAGGTGAAATGCCAGCAGATGTATGTAATGTGCACGAGAACCGTTTCGTATGTCTACAGCTTTGACACCCAATCGACCTCCTGACTTGACAACAGTCTCACAGTTAAACAGATTTCATTCTTTCAGACAACAGCCTCCCATTTTTTCCACCTTTAAAATGATCTTTTCTGTATCCTTGCTCACCTGTACCGTGGAGGACAGTCTCGGCTGAGGAGACCTAGCTTGGTCTGTAGCAACGATCACCAAGTTGTACAAACTCTTGGTCTCCCTGTCCAACGACCTGCGAGTCAGTATGGTGCCGTTGTCCTTCCCAATGTCGAACATGTCATCGTCGTCACCGCTGGCGATGGTGTATTCCAGCCGACCGTTCTCTCCTGGAACAGAATCAAACATGAGCATTTTTGGTGAAGTCAATTTTCATCAGCAAAAGAATTGTTGAACCGAATGAATGCATCTAAAGAATAAAGGGACTATACTGAAAATTGGCTACAGGAGGAACCATTTAATCTTGAACAAACCATAATTAGTCTAATGATCAATTACAGGTAGATCTTGCTTCAATTTTGGTGAGAGTATAAAACTTTTCCATTCGGCCAGTCAAAAAATAACAATCCTGGCTATTTGTGATTTCGATTTGCAGTTAAACTGTCATTTTAATATGTTGTTCTAACAGTTGTCCCAATGGGAGTGAACTAAAACACTACCAGAAGCCAACAATATTGTTGATTTGGTATTTACCACTCATATTCGATGATATAAGGATATGTATAGACAAGAGATTTTTTTACATATGGAAACAAAACAATTGAAATTGTTACCCGAATGGCACCAAACGAACAGTGACTCGAACCAATAATCTACAAACTGTGTGAAAATCCAGCTTGGGAAAAGACGAAGATATTCAAATGCGCCAAAGTAAACACACTGCCTCGAGGATAGAGTCGGAGAGAGCTGGGAATCGTGCAAGTAAACAGAATCTCTCGAGCGGACAATAGTCTCCGTGTGCGGCAGCGGGGAATCGTCAGCGGTCAAGTAGCAAGTGAATCGATCAATCATCTATCAATCAATCGTTATTCAAATCGGCGGCAAGATGGCGGCGCCGTGGCGTGATGGCTGACTAGACTAACACGACCGCCATCATCCGAGCCGTGCAACTACCGGGTGATATCATTCAGCCTGTGCTTTCTGAAATTTGGAAATCTCGAAACTTGTTATGTCACCCTGCTTTACACCACACCAGTCATTTTCATAGACATGAAGATGGAGAGTACCACTCGACCTTTCGAATTGCATTTTGTCCTTGACGAAGAAGATATGTTTTGTCAACAACCAATTCTCGGTGAGATGACCACTATAGTTCCAGTGACACACCGCGATTCGCGAACCACTATACGACGTCGTTCAACATTCATAACGCCCGAGTCTCCCGTATATTTCACCGACCGGTGTCGATGGTGCGAGCGAATTAATTGAGCCGAGGTCCTATCACACATCTAGCCATCCATTACAACACTGGTAGTTTGCCGATCGGAGGACCCCGATAATTACGTCATTCGGAGCACTATCGGCCGCGAATGCTCACTTATGGAATTATAGTCCGGCCGAACAATATTTATTGTCTTTGTTGAAGCGATCGCGAGGTCGGAGTTCGCGTAATAAATCGAGTTGCCGCAATACCGGGGAAATGTGGGAAAGAAGCTGGTGACATCGGCCTTCTTCAATCAGTCGGTCATACCGCGCGGGAATGTCGATCGCGATACTGGGTAGGGTAGTGTGCGCTGTTGCAAGCGCGCTTGCGCTACTCGATTGTGGTTATTGTACTTGACAGTGGAGAGTGGACACTCCTACCACAGACTTAACATTACATACTCTATAGTCTGTGCTACTACACTAGAGGAAGTACGTGCAAGAAGGGGCCTTCGTAACTAAATCGTCAGGAACACACTGATACCCGACGAATGTGACTTCAATGTTCCAGCGAAGAATAAGAAAGAATACCTACTGTAAAAAGTATACGCTTTCTCATAAATCGGCTATTTAGTTAGATAGGCCTAGGTAGGAATGTTTTACTCTCAGCTACAAAATCCAATATTTTGAACGAGCTACCATAGGTTTTTAGGTTGATGGTACTGATAATCCTTAATGCAATTCTGTGTTTAACCTTTACACATTGCTTAGTCCGTTAAGAATTACAATTAAATAGCTGAGGTCATTTGATCCGATCTTTAAAAACGTGTGTACGCAATATACACAAATTAAATTAAATTAAATTTGGTTACGCAATACCTAATACGATTTTCGGTCTACAGGGTAAACGGAGAAATAATTAAAAGAAGTTTTAGTATTTAATTGTGTAGTAAAATCCTTCGTCAACGTTGCGAACATCGTACTCTTCCACCTCGGTGCGGGTATGGCTCGAATACTAATAGAGTGCAAAGCTATGAGATAAAGCTTGCGATGGGCATCTCAGAGTCAGAGACGACGTGCAATATGCACCAAAGGTCAGTTGTAATTGAGTTAGAACCTGGTGATATACGCCAACACGGCCGCGGCGCGGAGATACGACATCGCTGCGTATTGCGTATTCCGTCACCCGCGGCTACGAGCACAGCGTATAAATGCCGGGAATGTCCAACAGAAAAAAACATGGAGTACTGTTATAAGTGGAAATATACGGGGGTATGTCATATTTGCAGTACTAAAGTGTATTACCATATTTTTCTGTTTTGGTGTTGTTGCTTTGTTGTATAGTACTGTGACATATAAAAACTACGTCTTTATCTAAACTATTATAAAATTGAGGTGGTGTGTGACGTCTGTCTGTCTGGGTGGCTGTCACGACTAAAATACTAAAACAATATAGCTAAAACTAATCACAAAGATGGTCAATATATCTAGGAACGTCATATGCCTATTCAAATCCTTGAGTTACCCTTGGGCTTCGCCTCGTGAATGTCCAAAGTTTTGAGATGAGGGTTTCAAAAGTAATTATCGATTGGTCTCCATTTCAGAATGAGAAAACTATTATGTTTATCTTTGCTTCGACATTTCAATGTAAACAAGAACTGCCAAATGCTCATTCTACAATTTAAGACAGCTGATCTCAAGAAATTAAATATATTTTACACAACTACGTGGTAGGTTTATTCAATCTAAAACTTTATCATAGATTGTTTATTCTAAATCTATGTAAATGATTATGAAACTGATTTTCTTTCCCGTTGCGGAACATGGGTACAGCCGCTAGTTTAAAATCTATGTAAATTATGAAGAGATGATAAAGCATAGGAAAGGACTCTAAAGGGGAAAGTTTGACGAAAAATGTAATTACGTCGTGTAGTAGTTTAATGGCTCTAATCAACGGTTGACTTGTGTTAAGGTATTGCCAAGACAACAAGTAAATGTTAACACCGAGAAGAATATATGGACACAAGCTAGGTTGGTTGAAGTTAGGCCTATGATAATTTGCCAACGTTTGCACGACTTTAACATGTCAAACGTCGGATTAAAATGTCACACTGATTACGGCAATCAAATGACAAATACAAATCATAAATCAAGTATAAACTCCTTTGACAATCTACCAGGAAGCTTATTATTTATTCAAAGGCAATCTTTTCTTTCACTTCAGTGATCACGAGACATTAATCCTTCGCAGGACTAAAGGGGTTTATGGTTACGAAATGACGAATGATGACGTCACGATCGTGGGAGAGTACAAAATGGCGGCGATGTTTGTTCAACCGTTACAATTTGTTGATTTTTAGTTTGCATTTATTTTTATCCTACTGGAATGTTGACTCTGGTTGCGAATCTGAGTGTTTTGGTACTTCGATAGAGAAAATCTTGCTGTATGACTTGTGTTTAGATTAAATGTTTTAAAAGGGTGTTAAGATACAAAATTATTAGTCTTCAATAAAATATTTTTGTACAATTGTTGTTAAAAGATAGCAGTCGTAGTAGTCGTATGGGGTACTTTGTTTTGGTACTACAAAGCTGTTAGGACTTTCTACTTTAAATTTAAAAATCTACCTTATTTTACAGTGAACAATACATTACCTTCAAACAGCAAACATTTGTTAAACGTCCCAATCAATAACAACCACACTATTAGATGAATGCAAAGGATATTTTACTTAAGATTGAATATCCTCTCTTGAATTTATCCGTCAATCTCTTAACACGAATGCCCCCCCCCCCCAGCCCATTCATCCTAGGAGCTGTGTGGTCCAGGGCCGCCGGTTATGATACCATCTTATCACGGCCCACCTAATATTTCATGGGACACAATGGACATAAATAATTGTAATGTTTTCTTTTCATAAAAATAAAATACGCCGGCCGTGTTCATTTGTCTAGTTTCGCCAGCTATCGGCCGGCCCATCTGGCATGCCTGTGTCCACATTCCCTCTGCACAAACTGTTTACGGAATAGATCAGCCTAATTGGCGGCCTGAGACTCAGTCCAAATCCGGATTCGGCTTATTATTTACGACCCGGTCCAGCGGAGTATTCGGACGCGGTCGTCCGCATTTACATAGATCAAGTGGGTTTATTGTGAGAGTTTAATTCGTCAAACATTTTGATTGACTTTATCACCTTGTAGATAAGGAATGTTTACAGTGTTGGTTTTGTTGACGGAACGGACTGGGTTTGTAGTGGTTTGTCGGTCGCTCACTCTTACAATGTCAAACGTTTTAAGCTTGGGAAGCTGGGGAATTAAATATGTATATATGTAGTACACACTGTCTGAATCCTTAAGGTTACAAAATAATGCAGTTTCGTGTTGTCTCTGAGCTTCTAATCACTTTCTTTACGCGACAAGAGTTTTAAACTAAGGTTGTATGATAATCGATATATGAAAAATAAAAATATGATCCACGCCAGATCACATTGTGGTTTAAACCTCGATTGATAACTATAAAATGAAGCTTAGTACATCACTATCCACACAACACTCGACAGAAACCCCAACTACTGCAGGTAATAGGTACATCAACAATGACACAACATTATTTGCCAATCGCGACCACCTTTACGTACCGAAACGGTGATAAATCAATCCATCACAATTTGGTCCTTCGAGCCGGATGCAAAACAATGGCCGCGATAAGCCACTCACTTTCCCGACTAACAAGAAGTGCTGTGGACACAAACAAATTATAAAGTTATCTGGAATCCGAGGTGAAATAACGTTTGTAGTTGACGAGGAAGATTGTGATCTCTCGTCGGTACGCCGCTGCTTCAGGAGGGTAGACGAAGCTGTAATTTAAGCATTACGCCCCTTCATTAAGCGGTTAGATCGAGGGCTGTATTTACAATTCCGAATATAATTAGAGATCTCGATTCGTGCTTTAAAGTAAGGCGGGGCTCGTCACCAGAAAGTCGATGAGATGAGTGGCTGCGTTCTTTCACGGGTGTGAACTTTCTGGTAGCCGCTTTTGGCTGGGCACTATAGATTCTCACTGTTTTTGAAAATCAGCTTTTATTAGTGTAATTTGTATCATTATATAATTAGCACTGTCTAGGGACCCTTTGTATCTGTTTGGGGGTGCTTGATCGAGTTAATGATTTTACCAAAAAGGGTGTCAATGCAATAAATTATTAAGAAAACCTTCGCAGTCTGTTTACGTGTTACTCTCGAGGACTGCATTTCCAGTTCAAAGTTAACGAATTTGGCATTATACTTCACGTTCAATAAGTCACTGAAATAATGTATGGTAAGAATTAACAACACCTCGCCAACTTTGGGAGTTTACGTATCGTTACTTACAATTGCTTTGTTTTTTGTTTGCGTCAAAAAATTGAACCAAATTTTTTAATATTCATGTTCATTTGGCCACCCAATATTTATAACCAAATTTGGTTATAACCAAATGATAACCAATATTTGGTAACCAAATCTTTTTTTGAAGCTCCTTGTCGATTTCAAGAAGTGTCCTCTATCTCTAAACTCAATCTCCCCTATCTAGCATACGACGAAAAGGACCTTCAACTGAAATTCAAATTCAAAATCCATACTTAATGTAAATACTAATCCACCTCAGACCCTGGCTCCAATCAGATCTCGAGGTCTCGGCGATGGTGACACGACGGGTATAACATCTGGTTACACGATTGTACGGGTTTTACGAGAGTGAGGATTTAGCCGGAGACCACCCGGCTGTATGTGCCACTGGCCATCATGTGTGCAACGGACGACTACGGAGTATCAGCTCTGGGATCTGCAACTCCACAATACCTTCAACTCCCGCGGGAGGTTAATGAAACCACGGGTTGGATAATTGGTGCGAAATTGCAAGAGACTTTCAACCGTACGTATCACAAGAGGTTAATGCGACACTGCATAGTCGACTTGGATGGCAGAAGCACTGAGGGTTCGTAAATATGGAGCTAAACAGCGTTGATTAGGAATGTTGGATTGTTGGAAATAGTTACTGAAGCTAGGAGGGTGGTCTTCTTTTGAAGTCGCTACCTAAACTAATCTAGTAGATGATTCTATTTGAAGACTTCTCTCTAAAACATTTTCTTGAATCTGGCAAATTCAATTGTTTTGTCATTGCCATCAGCTGGTTGTCTGCGTGTTTAAATAATCTAAAAGCCAGTTTGATCTAAGGAAAATGCAGCAACTTCATGGTTCGAAACTGGACCCAGATTATTTTTCCTTAATGCTTAAGCCAGTGGCATTTTACATGAGAAATCACAAGTAAAAGTACTTAAACGCTATCAGGGAAAGCGGTCCAACCCCATATGTTGTGGTTGTGCCGGGAATCAAACTTGTGTTGTGCTTTTAATACATAGATCTGGCTCTATACTGTTTCTATAAAAAGCTGGTCTCAGTCAAGAAAAAAACAAAAATGCATCTCACACAGTTCACGCCCATTTTTCACACATTTGGCTTAAATCCCCCAAAAGCGGCGTCCCAATCTTCCGATAGAGAGTGAATGATACAACCTCACACCTTTAGTCCTTTCGTGCATTTGTATCTTTTTCACCAGGGAAAACATCCACAAACTCTTCCAGGATCATCATGCTTGAGACGAATGCTACAACTAAACTAACTATAAAGTCATATTGTTTAACTAAGAATTAATTGCGTCACACCACTCACCAGAGTCCAAATCAGTAGCGGCCACTGTGACGACGCTGGTGCCCACAGGGACGTTCTCGAACACCTCGTTGCTGTAGCTGAGAGGATCGAAGAGAGGCGCGTTGTCGTTGAGATCCAAAACGTTGAAGTAGACAGTGAGGGTGGAGGAGAGGCTAGGACGACCCGCGTCCTGGGCCTGGACCACGAATATGTAGTGCTGCACCTGTAACAAACGTCGTGGCTCAGTATACAATTTGAGTCTCACAAACTACGTAATGTAGCAATGCTAGGATGCAATTAGGGAATAGATCTATTAGTATGTAGAAGAAAATTCTATCGAGCTACTCTATCAATGTACTAAAGGCAATAGGGGAGGGAACATTATTGTTTCGATATCACTGTTTCATACAAGTACATGCCAACATATTAGTAAAAAGGCCTCAACATGATCTGGTGGATCAAACCTTTAAGTTCGTGACCAAACTGAATATAACGGTCTCGCATTCAGGGGCAATTGGCTTATTTTTACCGCCACAATCATTCTATTGACCCCGGAAGCTCGGACTGTATAAATCGAGCTCTGGTGTATAATGCGGAATAGTGACACTATATTGATGCGCGGACGGACGTATAGGGGCAGCTCACGCATGCGCGGTACAATGGCTACAATGACCATGCGCAGTCGTGACTGTTCAGTACGCAGTCCCAGCCGCTTCTCTACATATGCGTCTAGCGGGGCACGGTTTGACTGAACGCTGCTGGGAATTGGACTTGCAAGACAATTAAGCTCAATTTCGTCGTGAGTGAAACAGCTTTTTACAACAGGTTTTTTTTAAGGTAACAAAGTTGGCCACGTTTATAGTAAATCATCAGGTGTTTCAACACCTGTCAAACTTTATCGGAACTCACATCGGATTCTAAAATTGATTTCAGCCCGAACAATAGACGACATTTAGTATAGGGGGTCACGATCACGAAATTCCCGATTTAGGATCCGCCCGGCACAGCGACCCCGGGTAAAAATTATGCCGAAATCCTCGGCGAGACAGATTCGAGCATCTTATAAAGAAGAAAGCGCTATTATTGTTACCTTCGGGGGGAGGGCGATTTACTGTCGTGTGATAAACCAGCTGACGTCACCGCGCTATTTAGGGGGGAGGGGACCGAAATGAAGTATTTGTTGGCAATTTTGAGGCCGAGATGAGCGATGCCGGCCGCAGCGTCCCCGCAGGCCCCCGTATGTTATATATGAATAATGGATCGAATGCCGATTGCTTGTAATAATGCAAGGTCGCCATACCATGTAATTGGGCATCATTTACATCGGGCCAAATTATTCGCGTCGCAGTCCAAGTGGGCTGACCCTCCATCTTGACGTTATCCTGATTTAGACGTCCACGTTGACGAGCAAGTAATCCAGTAACTATGTTGCACTGTCATGGGCTGTCATGTATGTTTTCTTGTATTTTAGATAAGTTGCCATCTATAGTAGAATGAAGGCTCGAGTGCATTTTGATCATGAGTAGGCAATCACAAACCCCTGTTGTGAGGATCAGTAAACCCACTCATTCAAATTTTCCAATTTAACACCCTCGATGACGTCGATGTTAGGAAATGTGCCTATTGAATCATGTTCTTGTGCCAATTGGGTTAGTTAAATCACAGCGGCATTTAGAGGACATTAAAGGGTATCTTTCCATTGATCAGTCTAATCACCCAACCAAAAATATGTATAGTCTTCTCTTAAAGGGCTGTCAAGTAAAACTATTTCGACTGTTCTAAAAAATTAAGACGTTTTGTTTTCTGTTCAGTAAAATTCTATTTTAGGATTAGGATGGATGCTACATTCATTATGATTAAATAATGTATATTGAGAATTATGCCTTTAGAATGATCTGGTTGGGCGTACAAATTTACCCTGGTTATGGTTAAATATTTTTCTCTTTCGAATAGTCTGGTTTCCAAACTTTCGACTTATATTTCTATATTTTAGCATTTATTAGAATCATGCAACTAGCGCCACGTCTTCTACATCAGAGCCAGAAGGACAATGCTGCAATAATGATTAAATATGTAAAATCCAACACGTGTTGCACTTCCGTAAAGGTCGACCTGTAATTGTACTGTGACAGTTATGATATTTAAACAGATGCTGGTGAGGTGACTGAGAAGGGGCGGAGTACATGCGGGACACGACCCTTGAGGAACGACCAACGGAGATAATAGATAAGGGGAAGGTCACTCTCCGACAACAGCTGGAGGCATCAATAGTCATCAGCCGTCTGAAGGCGATGCTGAAGGCACCTCCACAGCAAAAGGCACGAAAGGACACGACATAACAGTTTATGACCTGTCATTGCTTTGTCCAGAGGCGCGTTAAGTCCTAAAGAGGTCAAGAAGTGTCTTGTTAATAGATTCTTGCAGCATTTTCTCTAGAAGAATGAAGCGTTGGTAAAACGTCTTCGGCCTATAAAAGGCCAAGGTATAAACTATACAGTGTTGAAACTTTGAGGTTTGATATTTACAGAGTATATTCGATAGATTATGGTATTTTGTTTCTAGGTTAGCGAAGTTTTGCAGAACACTAAGTAGACAACAATCAATTGTGTACGTATGCACTGTTATTGGGGAATGTGAGAATCTCTTTATTTAGACTTTTTTGTTTGAAATTAAATTTATGATCAACGTTTTTATTTGGATTACACCAAGTTGGCAATTTTTACAAAGTGCTTGAGAAAACCCATCCAAGAGGTACACTTATTTCTACTTCTTGCGAGGGATTCACAAAAACAATCCTTTCGCTGTCAAAACTGTTTCTCATTAACAAGCAACACAATCAATCACGTTAACCACAATTCTACCACATAAACGTGACATTCACACAAGCCATAGAGATTACAGATTACCAGTTACACAATCATAGATAGGCCGCCGTTAAGATTTCAATTGCAAAGCCGGCCACGCAGTAAAATCTCCACAACTTCATCAAGGCGGAATCCAGGTTAGAAACAAGCGATAAAAATAAGCGGTGGCCTTGCGTGAAATGTACCCGGGACTGTTACGTAGGCAAATCCAGATAATAAAGCGATTAGGACTGTTGAATTCCTTGGCAGAACCACGCTCGTTTGTTGCAAATGTTAACATGTTTCTGCTCCCGACAACGATAAATGTATCGTTTATACTCACTACAACTCTGTGATCGTTTATGATATCCATTACCAGCAATAGATGCAGTGAGGTGTACAAGATCGAGTGGGAGAAGGTGTGAATCTTGAGTGTTTCCTGGTTAAGAGGAATCTTCTGGATGTTTAAGATTTGTTTACTAAAGTAGTTTGGACTTGCACTCTGGCATAGATTGAGTATTTTGTATTAAGTTGTTTTTATTAAAGAGATGCTTCAATGACTTTAAATTAAAGTTATACCTGACAAACGATAATTTGGGGCCCTAAAACTGATGTTAGTTATATATATGTTGAAATAATCAAGGTAGAATCAACCATTGAATAATAATTTTCACAGAAATATAAGAAGCCTACTGAAATGGCACCAATAGTTTACCAGTTCTTTCTTTAGGTTTAATTACAAGTTTGAAGGTCACTTAAAAAACCTTGAGATATTACTAACTATTACCTCGGAAATAAACTGCTCCTACCTATCTATTATAAATATTAGAACTGCTTATTTTTGTTGAATACACATTAACGAAATCACTTTTGTGAAATTTTATTCTAATTAGTAATCACATTTAGGGTAATTAGAGTAAAAAGTATTCCATTGATTTAACATTGTATAAGAGAAATCAGGCACACATAACCCCATAATTATTCGTTATAAACTTACTTTACCTTTTTACTTTACAAAATTATGCAATTACAAGTTTACTACAAACATTTGCATTTTCAACACATTATTCATAGCCAGCTGGCCAAGGGATGTTTGGATTGGGGCCACAACTGTTAAACAAATTGAATGTTTATTTCTTTATCAGCCTCCGTACGAGAATGTGGGTAAAGTCATCAATGTTAATGCGAAGGGTTGGCGTTCAAGGCACGTACGGCTATTGGTATTGGCAACCTTCCACAGCTATTAGAACGTATTGCTACGGTGTAACATTAAATAATATACCTATTTACAGCTAAACGTCGCCTTCAGTTAGTTACCGATAGCTGGACTCAACTCTACTGAAGAGTTATCGGTTAGTTAACTCAACTCATAAACCATACTGAAGGCCGTAGGATAACACCTTGGTAAATGAGTGACCTTGATTACATTTTTCCATGGGAAATAGTATGGTCGTGTTTTTAAGTGGTTCAAGGGTTATCAGAGAGTGTTGATATTAAAAAATCATAGAGGATATTAATTTAAAATTATAATTTTTAAAGATAAATATATATTATTACACTATTTTAAGCAATTGATTAAATTACCTTCGCTAAAAGTATTGCGAAATTACAGTGGGTTCTACCAAGGTCCCACTAGATAAACAGGCCATGCTGCAGGATCCATGACGTCACACTTGTGGATAGATTCACTGTCATATCCCATACGTTTTAGGTAAATAAGCTGGCAGTTTGTCAGATTTGTATGGTAGATTTTAGTACAGTACAACTATCCACCACTGTGACGTAGTGTTGCGTTGCCCTTTTTTCTAGTGGGGCCTTGGTTTAACAAATTATTCGCTTGAATATTATTCTTTTCCTGAGCTACACCCCTCCCATATTGATTCTGAAGTTATGCTAAATAGGGATTTTAAAGGGGGACAAGTAATCATCTGTTCACTAAATAGTTTCCTCCCACAAGCATTCAAACGAAACTTGGAAGCGGAAATAATTCTGTGCACCAATGTCCAAACATATCATTTAAGTTACTTCAACCCAGATTTCCCTAATATTTTCAATAGATTTGAGTGGTATAAATATCTATTAATTGAAACACGAGCAATATAACTCTAGTTTTGGTACTCTTGGTTAAAAGCCCGTTTTTATTTGTTGTTCAAATTAATGTCTAGGTTCCTAATCCAGTTTGTCAACTATTCATAAAGAGTTAACAAGTATTTTATTATTACAAGATTTTATACTCAATATACTGCAATAGGTATCAAACCACTCTTATAAACTATGAAAGTCTCAAGAACAACACTGCATAGTTTGATACCTAGAAGTACTGTCCTGTGTATAGTGCATGCAGTAATCACACTCCATAATCAATCCCATATTCTTAGTT